GGATTTAATCCCCAGCACCTCAAGAGTCTCTAGAACTGGGAGAAAATACATTTCTATTGTCTAAACCATCTAGCATATTAAAATAGTAGGATTTTTTTTTTTTTTTGGTGGTACTGGGGTTTGAACTCAGAGCCTCATGCTTGTCAGGCAAGTGCTCTACCACTTGAGTCACATCCCAGCCCAGTAGGATCTATTTTTAACCACTATTAAATCAGTAACTTCTTTTTCTCATGGTACTGGAGATTGAACCTTGGGCTTACATATTGCTAGGTAAGAGCTCTACCACTAACTTTAGGAACAGAGTCTCACTAAAGCTACCCAGGCTGGTCTGCAACTTGTTATGTAGCCCAGGCTACATTTCTGCAATCCTTGTACGTCATCCTCGCAAACAGCATGGGCCACACCACACCTGGCATAAACCAGTAACACTTAAAAATACCATGCTTTTGGACTGGGTGTACCTCAGTAGTAGAGTGGAAACTTAGCATGCTAAGACCCTGGGTTCAATCTCTAGCAACTAAACTAAACTAACTATATCCTAATCTGGAATAGTAGTCAAACTGGTGCCCATACAGATTTGTATAATGTCTTGAAATCAACTGCACAGAGGATCAAGAATTACTCTCCAGAACTGGAGGCTAAAGTGAAATAGCAAAATATTTTCCTATGAGTTAACAGTAGTCTAAAATATACCATCTTACTACATATATAAAACCTTTATTTCATGACTGTATTAGTGACTTTTTCTTTTTTCTTTCTTTTCTTTTGTGTGTGGTGTCTATGTGTTGAGACAGACTATTGCTGTGTGCCCCTGAACTCAAGATTCTCCTGCCTCAACCAACCCCCAATGCTAGGATTACAGGTGTGTGCCTAAACACCCAGGTTATTAGTGACATTTATCTATGAGCATCATTCAGGAAAACTTATTCGTACATTCCTTTAAAAGATGTTATTTTTTACCAGGCCCAATGGCTCATGCCTGTAATTCTAACTATTTGAAAGGCTGAGATCAGGAGGATCTTGGTTCAAGACCAGTCCAGGCAAACAGTTCTCAAGGCTCCATCTCCAAAATAACCAAACCAAAATGGACTGGAGGAGTGGCTCAAGTGGAAGAGTGCCTGCTTTGCAAGTGCGAAGCCCTAAGTTCAAACCCCAGTCTGAAAAAAAAAAAATAAATAAAAAACTGTCCATCTGTATTATTTTTTTGAAGTTAAACCCTATAATGTTTTTAGTATTAAAAGGATCATTAACTACTCTGTACTTCCCACTAAATTTTGCACTGAACATAAAGCTGCTTTAAAAATTAAAGTCTACCATTTTAAAATTTTAATGCAGGGCTGGTGGAGTGACTCAAACAATAAGAGTGCCTGTCAGGCAAGAGTTAAGCCCTGAGTTCAAACCCTAGTACCACCAAAATAAAAATAATAATGATGATACTGAACAGCAAGATTTTACTTGAGTAGCTTTATCTGTGAAGCTTATAGTGAAGGAAGGGTGTATGAATACATCACGTTAACACAGTTTACGAAGCAAATGGGACTAATTATCTTTTTCTAAGCACACAATAGTGTGTAATCAGCAAGCTGTATTTTTTAACATTCACTAAGCATAGTGCAAAGTAGAAAGGAAACAATTGTACAGTACAGTCACTGATGACAAATTCCCACTAAATTTCTTTTATTCTGCAAATTTTCCCTTAATATGTACAAATTTCACAAATGCAGTATTCTAAAATAATTAAATTCACTTATATAACATTGATCACAACTTTTGGGGCTGCAGCATCTAATAAATTACAATCAAAGTTTCTGTTTATTAATAAAAATGGCATAATAAACTATTTTCTACTGTTAAGTCTTCATGTTATTTTTAAATGCTCATGAAGTTAATTTGCCAAAAATTCCTTCATCAATTCCTGTATTTTGGTATTTGAATAGGGTTATACTTTCACATTTTTGTGTTGTTAGCATTGTTTCACTTACCCTCATCAGTTCTTTGTACATAACTCTGCAATAAACATTTCAGCAACTACAGCAATCAGATACCCAGGTCCATTTTGTCTATGCCACTGGTGAGAATACAGGTGGATAAGGAGAGAACAATTCTCAAAAACATCCCTTTGGCCAAAACCCATTAGTCCCAGATCTCTAGAATCACAAATATTGGCAGTGACCCTCAAAATGTTCCATTCTGAAGCTAGATGCAGTGAATGGCTCACGCCTGTAGTTCTGGCTACTTGGTAGGCAGAGATCAGGAGGATCATGGTTTGAGGCCAGCCCAGGCAAAAGGTTCAGAAGTCCAGAATGGTCCTGGCAAAAAGTGAGAGCCTATCTCAAAAATAACCAATGCAGCTGGATGCTGGTAGCTCACACCTGTAATCCTAGCTACTCAGGAGGTGAGATCAGGAGAATCACGGTTCAAAGCCAGCCCAGGCAAACAGTTTGCAAGACCCTATCTGAAAAAACCCTATCTCACACACACACACACAAAGGGAGGGGCTGGTGGAATGGCTCAAGGTGTAGGTCCCGAGTTCAAGTCCCAGTACCACATTGGGCAAAAAAAAAATGCAAGCTGGACACCGTTGGTTCATGTCTGTAATTCTAGCTACGTGGGAGACTGAGATCAGGAGGATCCAGGTTCAAAGCCAGCCCTGGCAAAATGTTCATGAGACCCAATCTCCAAAATAACCAGAGTAGGTTTAGCAGAGTGGCTCAAGTGGTAAAAGTGCCTGCCTACCAAGTGTGAGGCCCTGAATTCAAACCCCAGTGCCACAGACACACAAAAAAAGACCAAACAAAATAATCAGAGCAAAATTTACTGAAGGTGTGGGTCAAGTGGCAGAGCACCTGCTTTACAAGCACAAACCTGAGTTCAAACCCCAGTCCCACCAAAAACAACAATAATAATACTAATAATTCCTATGATCTAGCATTTTACAAATAAAACATTTATGGTATAGACAGGAATGATTTTATTGTAGAAAAATTTATTATGAATATGAAAAATATTTTCAAATATCACTAAATCTTGAAAGAACTAAATAGCCTACATAGTAAAACAAAAAGTCAAAAGTGATTTAAAAACCTATTATATGTTCTTCCTTTGCACCTCTGACTCCTTTATCCTGTTTTGTTTCCTTTGTGAGAGGGGTTTAGGAATTAGATGGAAATAAAAGTGCATGGCTTTCAGGCTTAGTACCCCACAACAAGAGAAAAGATTGTTCCTTCTCATTTTCCTCTTGCATTCTATGTAGTTTTAAAGAACTTTTCTCCCCTCCATTTTTTTTTTTGAAGAACACATGCTGGACTGTAACTTGGCCATGTAGCCCAGGCTGGCGTTGGAATCCTCCTGCCCCCACCTCCCAAGTGCTGAGATTATAGGTATACACCACTGCACCTGGCTGGTAGTGTTTAACAATATTTAACTGTTATAGACTGAGTGTTGGTGTCCTCCAAAATTCATGTGTTGAAATCTTAATTTTCAAGACAATGATACTGAAATGTAAGGACTTTGGGCCCCGCACTCACGAATGGGAATTGGTACTCTTATAAAACAGACATAAGAGAGGTGCTTTGTCCCTTCAGCTATATGATGACATAGCAACAAGGCACCATATAAATGGAGCAAGCCTTCACTAGACACCAAATCTTCTGGCCTTTTGATCTTGGACTTCGCAACTCCCAGCACTGCAAGCAATAAATTTCTTTTGTTTAATATATTACTCAGTTTAAGGTATTTGTTACAGCAGTCCAAATGGACTAAGATGCCAAAATACTTCTGTGAGTACTAACCTCAGTTTAACCTTATGAAACAATGAATTATTTCTACAGATGCTCTCCCACAATTAAATAACTTTGTTATAGAGAACAGTATATTCACTGCTGTTTATTAATGTTAAATAGTAAAAAAACAAAAGCAGTAACATCTTAGGAGCTTATTTCCGGAGAGGCAACCACATCTCCTTTTTAAGCATCAGTTTGTCCTATATTTGAAAAAACAAAATAATATGGTGATTGCATGTAATCCCAGTCCTTGGAAAATTGAGATAAAAGGATCTTGAATTTAAGGTCAGCCTAGGATACATTATGAGAGCCTGGTCTTGAGAAGGGAAGGGAAGGAAAGGGGAGGAAAAGGAGAAGGGGAAAAGTGGGAGGTAGGATAGAAGAGAAGAGGAAATTGTCTTACAGAAGAAGCAGATTTTAGAAAGTAAAACAAACTAATCCAATGTGCTAGCACATTACTCTAGCATTGTCATCAATTAGCCCAAAGCTAAATATGTTTCAACCAACAAAACTAGAAATGCTTCCTGCAGGCATGTTGATTTGTCCAGTAGAAGAACCTCACCTTGGATTTATTCCAAAAGAGGCTCTCAAATGTTCAGCATCAACTCCTGAAAGGAGGCCAGTCCAAATGTAGGATAAATCCCCCCAAAAAGCTGAATCTCTCTGATCATAGCAACAGGTGACCCTTGCTGTGAAGTTAGAGGATAGGTACACAAATAAATTTATATGCATTTATTAGATTTTTTTAAATGCATATGTTAACATGTGTATTATAATCTTAACAATGAGCTACTATGGGTAAGCCTCAATTTATAACTAGAATATATACTGGGTATTACAAATCTATCCTCAATTTTAAATAATTAAACCAGAAGTTAACTAAAAGTGAAAAATCACGAATACTTCTGTATGGTCACAACAAAACTATCATGACATGCTGAGATATGCTGGCTATTTTTGTTTTAGTGTGTGTGTGTGTGGGGGGTGGTATGGGGGATTGAACCCAGGGCCTCATGCATGCTAAGCACATGTTTTATTACTAAACTCTGATCCCACCCAACTTTTTTTTTTTTTTAATTTAAACAGTGCTGGGATGGAACCCAGGGCCTCGCTCATGATGATCAAAAGCTCTACCACTAAGCTACATCCCCAGCCCATTTTTAAAAAATTAGTCTCAAAAATAAATCTATAGACAAGTTTATGAAGGACGTCTCTTACCTCATAAATGTTGGGGTGCCACATTTTGGTCAAGAATCTGAAGGTAGGTGGTGAATATGGGTAGTCAATAGGAAATTTAATATGTGCCTGGAAAGAAAAAAAGACATGCTAATAAATGAAACTACAACATACCTACTACTTCACCCTGTTATACCCCAAAGAAACAAAGCTCCTTTCTATAAGGCACCACTCCTGAAAACAAAGTAACTCATTGGTAATTTGTTATACCTAGTGCCAGAGTTAACAGTGTGTTAAGTGAACCTTCAAATACTTATTAAAGGCTACATTAAATTAACAAAAATGACAGCCATTATAATTCTTAACTCACAGGAATTAAAAAGTTACAGATTGTTGTTTTTCATTTTGCTGTGTTGGGGATGAAACCCAGAGCCCTTCACATGCTAGGCAAGTGCTCTACCACTGAGCTACATATTCAGTCTCTATCAAAAACCAATCAGCTGGACACCAGTGGCTCACTGCTGTAATTCTAGTTACTTGGAAGGCTAAGATTAGGAGGATCGTGATTTGAGGCTGGGTTGAGCAAAAAGTTCTCAAGACCCCATCTCTAAAATAACCAAAGCAAAATTGACTGAAGGTGAGGCTCAAGCAATAGAGAGCCTGCTTTGCAAGTACAAAGCCCTGGATTCAAACCCCAGCCACCCCACCCCCCAAAAATTAATGAGGTCTATGGTACAGCATAGGGAATAAAAAGGTAATTATGTTTTCTTTTATACTCACAAAATTTAAACATTAGTGCCTCACCCAGAAATGAATGCTTGAATGCTACCACTTTTTTTGGGGGGTGGGGGGTAGGGGGTGAGACTAGGGTTTGAACTCAGGGTTTCATGCTTGCAAAGCAGGTGCTCTATTGCTTGAGACACACCTCCAGTCCATGAATGCTAACATTTGTTCTTTTCAGTAGTTTCTTAGTTTATACATATATATGCTCGCTTTCTTGCAAAATTTTTAAAATTTGAACACACTGTATTTTATATTCATCACCCTTTATCATGAACATTCTCATGTCATATATAAGGATTAGCATAATAGTCCATCATATGAATATATAAATGAACCAGTTATTTAAATGATTTTATTTTAGGGCATTTAGATTGTTGTATTTGTTTGTTTGGTTTTTGGCACTGGGGATTGAAACCAGGGCCTCAAGCATGCTTAGGCCAGCTCTACCAGTGAGCCACACCCCCAAGCTCTGGTTCTCACTCTTATGCTATTATAAATACTGTTGCAGTTAATGTCCTTGGCAGGATCTCATTTCAAATATGCAAAAGTTCAGAAAAAGGGCCTTCAAAAGTTCTCTGCCATAAAAGCAATGAGAAATCTGTCAAAAATTGTAAAGATCATCTTTTTCAGAAATCTACAAAATAACCAAAGCCAGGCATGGTGCCAGCACACAGGAGGCTGAGTCAGAAGAATATAAAGTTCAAGGCCAGTCTGGGTTTTATATATATATAAAGTGAGCTCTGTCTTGGAAAGGAAAGGGAAGGGGAAGGGAAAGAAAAGCTTGCAGCAGTTCGAGGATACATTCAAGAAAAATGGCTGAACCTAAATAAGAAAAGCAAGCTTTTCAGTTTTAACCTACCCTAGTCCAATCCTCTAATCTCCAGCTTTGTAGTAACCTTAAAACATTATTTCACAAAGTTAAAAAACGGAAAGGGAAGGAGCAAAAACCAGTAAGTTGGCAGGCACTGGAGAGGACACAATGATCTGGAAATTCCTCTAACCCTATCACCCACAGAGAACTGTCATTACTTGACATTTCTAGTTGTTTCCTACAAAACCCCACTTGTAACCTTGTCTATTTAATCTGATTTGGACCTTGGTCATCATGGAAATATTTCCCCAGGTGGCATTTGTTGAAAACAACAGCAGAAGACTGTTCAAAGGTGCCTAAGGTAGAGGAAAACAGACGAAACAACACACCAACCAAAAAAAACGCAAAAGGAAAACTGGGATTTGAGATATCCATGATAGCTTTGAAAAGCTCTGACAAAATCTTATGAATGTACAAGACCATGCCAATAACGTAGGGCTATATGCATGCTCAGAAAGACCTGAACACACGTCTGCCTTAACTTGAAGATCTACACAAGCAGGAAGTGAAGGTTAAGGCAGAGTTTTCAAATACCTGGCTGAATGTTAATGAAATATCCCAACACACACAAAGGAATCCCTCCACAAAACCCAAGTGGCTCACTGGTTCCAGAAAATATTTGTTTAATCATTAGACAACCACTAAGCAGAATGGAGAAATCACTGGTCGCACATAAGAAAATTAGGTTAAAATAACATCCCTAGGCAAGCACACAAACACTACAACAAACAGCAACCACAAGAATAAAACCTGGGAAGAATCTGATTTCCACAGTTGCCAATTATTTAAATACCCAATAAAAATTATTACAAGACATATATGTGCTCTCTATATAGGGAAAAAGCAATCAATTGAAATTGGAAGGCCAGATATTGAATATACTAGGATAAAGTCTTCTAATTGGCCATTTAAACACGTCAAAGGACTAAACTAGAGCACACAGTCAGGTCAATGATGTAAAATAGAGCAGAACAGGTTTATCCAGAAAATAAAAGTGACATTTCAACTAATTAACAAAAGGATTCAAATAACAATGCTGGGAAAAATGATTCTTACTTTGGATGAAGATGCTATGGACATGTTAATTTAAAACCAGACCTCAATTTAAGGAGAAAAAGATCAAACCTCATCTTCAAGAAGAATCAACAATTGTTGGACAATTCTTTTTTTATGTAGCCCAGAATGGCCTTAAAACCTCAATCCTCCTTGTCTCAGCCTCCAAGTAACTGAGATTACAGTTATGTGCTACCACGTTCACCTTTGGACAATCCTTGCTTTAAGCATTTTTTTGTTTGGTTTGGTTCTAGTTTTGGGTTTTATTTTTTTCTTTATACTTTTTTGATGCTGAGGATTGAACCCAGGGCCTTACACGTTAAACATCCACTACACCACAGAGCTATACCCTCAACTCTCTCCAAGTATTAAAGGGTTCCCATACCAGTAGCAAAAGATTGACTGCTCTGTAGCCATAGTAATAAATAACTAGTTTTTAAATTGCTTAATCAATACCTGATGTTTTTATAGCTATGAAACAACACTGAACAATTTTAATCTACTAAAACAACTTGCTAGAATGCACATAGGTTCAATCCCTAATGATATACACAGACCAAAAAAATCCCAACAAAAAAACTTGCCTCTTAGAAACTGTATTTTTGCATGTGAATCTATCATTCATAGCCCCTTGTTTAAGAGAGTTAGTCAACTGACTCAGAATGAATACATTTCTGGATACTTACCAATTAACAACTGTCTCGCCTAACTACTGCTTCCACAGCTGATGCCAATCCATCATGCCTGTTTTCATCAATCCTTGAAATTCACGCTTCTCAAAAACCCTATGTAAGACCAAAAGGGTTCTCTACTTAGACCACCTGACTTAACCAGTCAAACTCTCTTTTCTTAAATAGACAGTAAATTCGGTTTTGTGTTTTCCAAGTATTAATAAAATGATCTTATCCTTACACTGTAATCTTTATAAAAGACATCACAGATCAATACATACCAACACAAATATATCCAAAACCAGTGAAAAAAGCATAGCAGTTATACAGGCTGACACTATTTGGGTGGTGAGGGGGAGGTGTGTACACTAGGGTTGGTACTCAGGGCCTCAAGCTTGGCTTGCTAGGCAGACACTCAATACGCCCCAGTACCTAGGTTGATACCATTTCAAAATAATTTTTAAAAAACAGCCTGTATTTTTAATATACATTATGTGTATGCAATACATACAAAAAAGACAGAAACACACATTTCTGACCATTAACAATGATTATCTCAGGGGAACAGATTAGTGGTGGAAGTAATGGAGTGAAAGTGGGACATTAAAAGAATTACTGTCTGGCACAGTGGTGCACATATGTAGTTCCACTCCTCCACCCTTTTTGTTCTGGTTGTTTTGGAGATATGGTCTTGCTTTTTTGCCTGTGCTGGCCTGGAACCTCAGTCCTTCCGTTATCAGCCTCCCAAGTAGCTAGGATTGGAGGTGTGAGACACTGGTGCCGGTTAAAAATTAAGTTTTTAAACATAATAGAAAAGTACAGTAAAATTTAATTGCAAGTTCTGTACACATGAAACCTATGAGCCTTAACTAACTTCCTAACAATTTTGATACCCTTGGGGAGTCTTATACATATGGATCACATGTGGAATTATCATATTCACTTTTCAGTCATTCGATGTATATCCATAAGCACTGGTTATGGGCAGGCAGAGCAGCTCAAGTGGTAGAATGCCTGCCCTAGCAAGCATGAAGCCCTGAGATCAAACCCACTACCGCAAAAAAAAAAAAAAAAAAAAAAAGAAATTGCAAGCACTGGTTCTTTGTGCAGTAATTTTTTATTCACGTTACCAATATAGTATGTTTTTTGTTTAAACATGCTATGTTATTGTTTAAACTGTAAAAACAGAACACTTAGTGGTCACAGTTGACTTGTCCAGTCCTAAATTACATAGGAGACATTTCATCACACACATACACACACACACACACACACACACACAAATAATAAAGATAGAAATGATTTTTTTTTTTGAGAGAAAACATGATTTTTATTTTTCTGAGTCTGGCTTATTTCACTTAATTTTTTTTCCTTTTTCTTTTATTATTCATATGTACATGCAAGGCTTGGTTCATTTCTCCCCCCTGCCCCCACCCCCTCCCTTACCACCCACTCCGCCCCCTCCCTCTCCCCCCCCCAATACCCAGCAGAAACTATTTTGCCCTTATTTCTAATTTTGTTGTAGAGAGAGTATAAGCAGTAACAGGAAGGGACAAGGGTTTTTGCTGCTTGAGATAAGGATAACTGTACAGGGCATTGACTCACATTGATTTCCTGTGCGTGGGTGTTACCTTCTAGGTTAATTCTTTTTGATCTAACCTTTTCTCTAGTACCTGTTCCCCTTTTCCTATTGGCCTCAGTTGCTTCCAAGGTATCTGCTTTAGTTTCTCTGCGTTAAGGGCAACAAATGC